AATAGAACGCAATTTAATTCGTTATTCCCTGAAAATCTCCCCTTCCGCCATTGAAACCTGCCATATTAATTGTACACACAAACGTCATTACACAAGTATACTATACCATATAAGGAGAAGAAGAAGGAGCGGAAGAAACTGCGCACAAACGTCATTGGTTCTCTCTTGTATCAATGTGGCAATTTGAATTTGAAATGTAAGGAAGTGACCTCTGCAGATCTCTAGGCGGCACGGCCCACCACTTTGAGAAGCACTGATGGCTGATAGGTTGCAGTAGCAGTTTCTTTAACATTCATATTACACATCTTTTAGCTCATATGCTTAAACTGTAAAACCTGTTAATTTCCTACTGTCATAAGTTACTACTCATTATGATCAAAAATAATAAACAGAGAATTGTGTTGCAAATTGCAAATTGTGCAATCTGTTTAAAAATTCTGCTAAAAAGTTTTTAATATGGAATATATAGTTGAATATAGCCTGTCAGACAAAATAACTATTTGAGTGAAAACAGAGAAGAACCAAAAAACTAAGAATTATTTTATTATTATTTATGTTTCGTTGTGGTTTGAAAACTATTTAAATTGACAGAACTGAATAAGCAGGAGACTGATTCATACGTTTTGTGATTTGTGTCTTTGGGGGGAAAAACCCCCAAAGCACATGCAGACAAATTCACAACACACACATTTACTAATAGTTTATATTATTATTGAGATCTCTTCAGAAATTCGACTGAAACTACAATACTTGGGTATTTTTCTCAATAGAAAATATCCTAGACGCACAAGAAAAGTCTCCATTTGCTCTCCCGTTGTTGTATAGGAGATGCAATTGAGATTTTTGCAATATTTTTTTTTTCTTTCCATGCTCTCTCCCTTCCTTGTTCTTCTATGTCTTTCTTCCACCAGAGAATATATACATGAGCACAATTTGTGAGTGTCTTAAAGACAGAAATTAAGTTCCTGTGGATCATCTCCCACCGCAGTATGGAAAGAAACACCAATAATTGTACGAGTTCTTGGAATTCACAGTACACAGTTCAAAATACTCAAAATACAGATTACTAGCCAGAGGTCATCTGTGTTCTCACAAAAATTCTCTATTCATACAAAACAAATGGGGGAATTTATAAGGTGGAATTGCTCAGTGACCGAAGCCAGGAAGGACATATTCTGACAAAAATCTGTTGTGTTCTGATGTCTCTATCTGTGAGTCAAAAACTGTATCAGAACAGAGGAAGCAATTCCAGCTCTTCACATCAATTATGTAAGAAGATAACAGTCAGTAAACACTTCACACAACAAACACTGTATTCTCCCGATACCTCCTTCAAAAACATGACAATATGTGCAAATTAACTCCCATGTTCATCAAGCTGTCAGAGAGTAAAACGCCACCATGTTTCTTCTCATTCTTTTTATGTAAATCCGTCCCATCACGTCAGTCTCAAACCCACAGTGAGTAAATATCATCTGTGTGATTACTCTTCATATGCAATAATGCCATCACACACTGTTTAGCAACAGTGGATTAAAATTAAAGAACGCATTTGGATGATGTCACATTCTGTATTTAATGAACCAAATAAACCCCTGATTTCAACACAGGAGGAGAGCGGGAAATGCTCTAGGTCAGGGGTATCCAACCCTGCTCTAGGTGGTGAGGTGCCAAAGAGGGTTGAGGGTTGAGGGATTGGGACATGACCTTAAATATTCCAGCTTATGAATGCCAAATACATCTGCTTGTGTGTGATAGAGAGAGAGAGAGAGGGAGAGAGAGAGAGGGAGATTTTGGTTCAGGGAAAAAAAAAACATTACAAGAAGAAACGGTTCAAAACGTGCTTTAATGTCTTTGAACAAATGAACATGTTTTCAAAAAGAAAAATTAGGGTGAATCAGTTGAAACGATCAGTAAAATATATTTACATTAATCATAACCCCAGGTATTTGTATCCAGTACTAATGTATACTTTTGTACAATGAAATATTTTTAATGTTAGGGGCTAAAATTAATATAAATAGGTGCTGACTTCTGGTCACTATGAAAATTGTCTTGCCTTTGTGCTCACGTGTTTGAAGAATTCTCCTTGAAAAACTTCTGCAATTTTCTTTTTGAGACTCTGTCCTGTAATTTCTGCATAAAACCATTAGCCTTCCATTTCTGTCCTTGGTTTACCAGGCATCATAACAAACATTTCTTTCTTTATCTGCGGAAACTATCACTGCTGTGCCTCTGCGTTTCCTGTTGACAACTCGGAAATTACTGAATTTAATCCAAATATCATATTTGCCCTTTTTTTTCCTTTGAGTTCCTCTGGTTTTATTTCCTTATGCTTCCAGATGCAAATGAGAAGATCTGCTCATGGCTTGGGAGAGCTAGGAGGCTGAGACTGTATTTAATTATGTCTGAGTTCACATACTGTAGACAGACCATGATCCAATTTAGAGTTTGGAACAGGAACAGCAAATTTTCAGATGCTTTCTTTTCAGGCAAGTTTTCAGAATGATTCTCACCACCACTAATATTTGCAGCCCAGAAAAAAAATTCTGGGTTCAGTACAAATTATGTTCGATCAAAAGCATTTGAGGCACTGTCACAGTCCCCAGTCACCAGTCCATTCACTCTCCTCAGTCGCCAGCCCTGTCCACTGGGAACTACATTTCCCAGCATCCCCTCTGGTCAACACCTGCACTCAGTCAGCCATCACCACACCTACCATAGATGATCTCATCAAGACCTGTATAAGAGCAGTTACTCTCCACTTCTTCCTTGTGTGGTCTTGTCTCTCCATGTATGAGTACTTACCTGTCTTCAGTTCCAATCTTCAATAAGCCCTCACTGTACACCCACCAGCACCTGCAGCAAATAAAGAACTCTTTATGCTTTATGCTAAGTTACAGTGATCCATCAATGGAAGTAAACAGGGGGCCGTTTCTGGAAGACCTAACAACAGAAATGTGAACCTGAATGAAAAGCACTCACATTAATTCTTCTATTAAAACCTGTGCAAGGTAAGATTTATGTCATGTCAATTTTAAAATAATTTTAGGGTTTTAGGTGTTCCTAAAAAGTAGTAAAATTCATTTTTTTCATAACTTTACAGAAAATGGAGAAGTTATTTTTCCCCACATTAAAATAAAATATATGGATATATTAATGAAACGGTGAGTATTTTAACTAGCCTCATTCACTTTTACTGTAAGTGCCTTTTTTAAAGATTTTTTTATTTTATAGAGGAGGTGAGTCAAAATAAAATGGTGGTTATCAACATTATTCCACAATCATTTTAGATTGAGCTTAACTTGTACTGAATGTGGAATATTCCTTTAAAACCACAAACGTTCTGTGTCATCCATACATGAATATCTGTACATCTGTGATGTTTTAATACACCAATCCCGTGCATACCTGAACCATGTGTGCATATTTAGATCTGGGTCAACATTTCCTTCAAAACATCCTTTAGAAAACAATCATCTGGATTCCATTTCTCATGCTTGATGCTTGCATAGCATAACACACACACACACCTATTCAGGAGAGGCACGTTGAGGGTGGCCCAGACCGCAGGTATACACATGCAATTATAATTATAACTGACAAAGAACTAAGTCTCTCAGCTCTCAGTCAGTAGAGTAGGAGTAATAAGGAGCTACAGTACGTGATGTATTGCTGATCATGCAGGACTGGAGTCATGCTGTGACTGCGCCCCTTAAGTCTTAACCCCAGTAAGATAGCCCTAATAAGAATACTAGGGGTCCGCTGATCTATTAACATTATCATAAATAATCTCCACATGCTTATTGCTGGTAGATGACACATCCGGTGGGTTTCGCAGATGGGTGGAGGTGTGCAGCAGATCATACATGCTGTGATAACTGTATTCAATGTATCATTCAAGATTCTGGGAGCAGTATGTCACACAAGTTGGTTTTTTATGAAGCATATGAAGAAAACAAAAGCTCACTCTGTTTATGGAAAGTCCTCTTGGTGAATTTACAAACAACAGACAAATATTTTTTCCTTTTTGATTTCTAGCAGAACAGTGCAGATTCAGTGCAACAAAGTGTTTCTGAAGCATTGAGATTGGCCAGACTGTTGCGCAACTTACTTCCAGGCAGGCCTTGGCCTCAAAACACACCGGAGATAAATCCAAGCAAACATCGTGCCTTTCAACACACACGCACACACAGTTACAGTTGCTCTGGAATTTCCTCATTGGACTTTATCCATTACCAAAACAGCCTCTCTCTCTTTTCCTAAATCTAAACCTCCCACTGAGCTGTGGGCAGGTCACAGGATAATAAATAAATGCCTCTCACACACACATGCTCATAAACAGGCGAGAAACAGCCTAAGTCCCGCAAAGAAACGCCAGTGGATAAAAGAGAAATTACGGAAGAACTAAAGAATAAGAGTAAAAGCTGGTTTTGATGATCACATTGCATTGCCAAACAGCTTTTGGGGATATGAACACCGTTATTGGCACAGACGATTCAGAAAATCTGCAATAAAAATCACACTCTTAGTCAGTGATTTCAACAGTCAGGATCTGGTTCTACAAGACATCAGTGGATTTTTCAGAGATTTTTCAGAGACATTTGTTGATTCTTCTTAGCATATTTTATTTTATTATTTTATTTTATTTAATTTGCTGATTCTTTTAAAAAGTTTTTTAGGATTATTTAGGTTTTAGTTTTTTGCCTTTAGGTTGTAATCGGTGTGTATTTTGCAATATATCAGCCTATGTACTTCTAAAGTAACAAAATAAACCATACATTAACTGGTGCACCCAAATGTACTGTGTGCAGACCATAATCAGATTTGATTATACCATCATCGCCTGTGGTGGCCCCCAATAAAACAAGCATTTAAATAACTCAAGCAGAAATATAATCATCTACAGCCACAGCACTTGTACCAAATCTGAAATGAAAAGTGTAAATAGTGTTCTTTTAATGCACGTTTTTAGTGCAATTTTATTTATCTTACTGTGTATGGTGTCATCTCTTATTTTTTAGAAATGAATGCAGACTCTGTTGCAATGACAGATCTCAGTGAAAAGATGCATAAACCGGAGACAGTGTGCATCTTTGGAACGGGTGATTTTGGACGCTCACTGGGGCTCCGTTTGCTCCAGTCAGGATACAATGTTGTGTATGGATCCAGGGGCCCTAAAAACTCTCTGTTGCTGCCTAAGGGGTCAAAGGTCATGACTCATGCAGAAGCAGCTTGTGAAGCTCGTGTGGTATTCGTGGCTGTGCAGAGGGAGCACTATGGATTTTTGAGCTCCCTGGCTTCAGGTCTTGAGGGAAAGGTGCTGGTAGACGTCAGCAATAATCTCAGGAGGGGTCTGTACCCAGAATCCAATGCAGAATACCTGAGCAGGCTGGTTCCAGGGGCGACGGTAGTCAAAGCCTTCAACACCATCTCTGCCTGGGCACTGCAGTCTGGAGGACTAGATGCCAACAGACAGGTAAAACACACACACACACACACACACACACACACACATAAACACAATTCAATCAGGTGGACAGAATATACTAACAGGCAGGTAAAACATGTAAATATATGTAAACAAGTAAATAAATGTAATATTGTTTCATGCTTCCACAAATCACAAAAATAAACACATTTTGTTCAGATGAAGCAATCAAAGAGCTATAAAATTAGTGAGAGAAAATGATTAAGACCGAAATTCTCATGCACGAGTCCCCAAATTTTTCAAAATGTTGTTAATCATTTAAGCAACAAGTGGCAAAGCACAAAGAAGCTGTTTTGAACAGGGCTGTTTAAAATTGAATGAATCAAGCTTAACAGACTTGTCTCACAAAACAGCCTTGAATGAAGGTGTTTGTATGAGCTTTTGTCATTATAATATAAACAAAAAGACAAATCAGACATGACAAATGGCATACCGCTGCACTTCATATTTGTTGTACTTCATCTCTACTGTAAGGCAGCTGGATGACATATATCATCCAACAAAAACAAACACTGTGTTTCTACACAGTACAAAAGAGCCATTAATGTAATGTGTGTCCATGTCATAATGCTCTGTTTTAGCAGTTCATTGTTCGTGAAATGAGGCAAGCATCTCCCTCTTAGCGAAAGAGTCTTTATGTAGGAAAGTCATATTTACATCAGCAGGTGGTGGTTGAGAAACTGGCCAGATGGAATCTGAGCTCTGGCAAACTATTATTATCGCTATGTTAGTGCATATGTTCTTTGACACCTGTTTGTGTGGTTCTCAATAAAAATGAATTGTCACACACGGCCAAGCAGTCTATTTGTTATTATTTCTCATTTTGATTATAATTTCTTGTTCTTTTTTCTAAAGGCCAACTGTGACAACATATTGTATTGGTTAGGCCCAGACTGCGCATTGCTGTGAACTAAAATTAAATCCCCAGAGGATATTTCACTGCTGTCTGAAACTATTAAAGGTGCATTTTGTTTCAAAAGGTTGTGTAGGTCAACAGAATGGAAACTTGTTAGAATAAGTCAAAAATAATCAAAACACTTGAAAATAATTTGCTGCATGAGTAGTTTTTGTTGTAAGACTTTACAATAAGGTAAACATTAGGTACCATGAACTATGAACGACTTAGGTTACTGTTTAGAATTTACAAATATAGTATTGTTAATTCATAATAAATCAATGTCAATTTAAACTTGAAATCTTAAGAATCTATGAATATATGTAAAAATTAACATTAAATGTGATTAAATGTGCACTATGATTTTCCATTACTTAATGAAAAAAAACATCAATGTTCAAAACTGTGTTCCTGCCTTTACCCTGATTCACTACGACAAGCCTACAGTAATGTTTCCGACCAATCGGGTCAGATTTGGCCAACCAACTATACAAGTAACTTGCTATTTTGTGTTTCAATGTCCGTTTTGTTAGTAGCAGGTGAATGTTAAATAATATTACTTAACAATATATCTGTAGTCTGAAGTTAATTAAATTTGTTTTCTATAACACGTTAAATTGTATACATTGTTTTTCTTCTTCTTCATCATCATTTGATTAGGTACTTCTCTGTGGAGACCGTTCTGATGCTAAACAGCAATTGATGGACATTGCTCAAAGTCTCGGTTTCACTGCTGTGGACAGAGGCTCCCTCCGGGCGGCTGCTGATTTAGAAGATCTGCCCCTGCAACTCTTCCCTCTCTGGAGACTTCCTCTCAACATCGCCATTTGTTTAACAGCTTTCATATTCTTCTACGCGCTCACAAGAGATGTTATCTATGAGCGTGTTACCAATGGTAAAGACATCACTTTTCGAATTATGGTCTCGCTGGCCAACAAGGCCTTTCCCATCGTCTCTCTGGTGATGCTGTCCTTCTGTTACCTGCCGGGCGCGTTGGCTGGATTTCTGCAACTTTATAATGGCACTAAGTACCGTCGCTTCCCTGATTGGTTGGATCGCTGGATGCTGTGCAGGAAGCAGCTGGGTCTGCTAGCACTGGCCTTCGGTTTTCTACATGTTCTCTACACTTTAGTTATACCCATCAGATACTATGTACGCTACAGGATAAATGTCTACACTATATCACTGGTAAGTTAAATACTTTTAAGAATACTATTCTTATAGTTCATTTGCCACCAAAAAGCTCTTTAAAATCAATACGAAATCAAAATTAACTTTCTTGAAATCAAAACAAACATCTTTCCCCATTTACTTTCTTAATAGGCCTACATAGGTTATTACTGGTATTATTGTGAAAATTGCTCTTTCTTTCTTTAAAAAAAAAAAATTCAAAAGCATAAAGAGTCGTCTGCTCTCCAATTGCTCTCGCTGTACTTTGATGTATGCCCAAATCCAAGCGTCTATGCATCTTGAACAAGCCTTGTGTTGCATAACATGTTAGTGAATTTGGGGGCAGCAGGCCTAGATAGGGGTCCGCTAGGGATACGATCCTTTTAGTTTTGGGGATTTTAAATATCAGTGTTTCTCAGAAATCACTTACTGCACATTTATTAAAAATATAATCCACTAAATTTCGATCCTGGCTGATGTCAAGACATATATGGAACGCCCACTTTTTAAGATCCAACAAATTTCTGAGTTAATCAAATTAAGTCCCGCCCTTATTTATTTAATTTTTTTCTTGTTTAAAGGGGTCATATGATGCTGCTAAAAAGAACATTATTTTGTGTATTTGGTGTAATGAAATGTGTTTATGCGGTTTAAGGTTCAAAAAACACATTTTCCACATACTGTAC